CATGTACTTAAACAAAACACAAAATGTAGTGAAGAATCTATCCCAGGTTCCCTTTAGTTATTTAAATTTTCAGTTCTTTTGAGAAGTCTATTGGGATATGTTTCTTCTCAAAGTTTAAATCTCCCTTCTAAGGTGTTTAAATATATGCATCCCATAAGGGCAATTTAAACTTTAGGGGAAAATGTTTCACTTTTACTTCAGATTATACATTCTAAGAAGCCTTTAGCTTCATCCTTTTGATAAATTACAATTCTTTTTTGTTTCTTTTTGTTTTTTTAATTTTACTTTTTGTGTTCCTTTTTCTCCAGTTCAATTCTTTTTGTTTGAATATTTGGACTATTGTTCTCTGGGAAATAACTGCTCCCCAAGAGAACCTGATAAAAAGAGCATCTAAAAGTGTCCTCTTCACTTTTTTCTTTTTTTTTTTTCATTGAGTTATAATTGACATATAACATTGTATTAGTTTAAGGTGTAGATTTGATCCACTTATATATTGAAATATGATTACCATTGTACCATTAGCTAATATCTCCATAATGCCACATGATATTCATTTCTTTTTTCTGGTGAGAACACCTAAGATCTAGTTCTTAGAAACTTTCAAGTGTATAATACAGTATTGTTAACTATAGTCACAATGCTGTGTATTCAGTTCCCAGAATTTATCCATCTTCTACCTGCCCATTTATGCCCTTTGACCAACATCTTACCAATTGCCTCACCCTCTTCCTAATTTCCCCACCCTAAAACTTCTCTTTGGGTTTTCTTTATATCTTGTATTTCTTTGCTAAGAGTTTCTATCTTTCTAGTCATTTCAAGAGTATTTGCCTCTACTTGGAGTTTTTTTTTATTAATAGCTGCTTTAGATTTTTTATCAGACAATTTCAACATCTGTATGATCTCTGTTTTGACATGTGTTCATTGTCTATTCCCATGTAAACTGAGATTTTCATGTCATCATTTGTGATGTAATTTTAGATTGCATCCTAGGCATTGGGAATATAATATTGCGAGACTGATTTAAATCCTATGAAGTATTTTGTCTTTGTTGCTTTAGGAGGCAATTAACCCCATTTGGTTTTATAGAATGTCCCTCAGCTTGAGCCTGTGTGATGTTCTCCAATAGTTTATGCAAAGTCTAGGTATAAACAAAGGAAAATGAAGCTGAAATAGCATCAAACGTTAGATATAGATTTCATAAAAATATATTACTGTGGAAAGCATGGTGCTGACAAAAGATTTCCCAATATGAAAAATAACAAAGGATCAAGAAGACTAAAACAGTACAGCTGCTAGATAATTAATCCTCTTAAGTATAGCTAATGAAATTAGGTCAACAGAAATGGTTTTTGTCATCAGCGGGGACTCCAGCCTTCTCAGAGGCATCACTGAGGCACTTTATGTAAGCAAAGCCATACCTACCTTGAACACAACTATCACCAGCATCTCTGACATTTCAGGGTGTGAAGTGGCACTCGAATATCCATTCACTGAGTTACTGAACTACAAGGATTACCTGGAGTTTGCACCTTTAGTTTCATGGTTATTTTATTTTGTTCTTTTGTTTGCTGTTGTTAAATTACAGGAAGTTAGAACAAAGGAAAATAGAAAATTTTCTGCCTTCTATATAGAATCTGCAGCTAATCTTTTTTTTTTTTTTTTAAATTGCGGGAGTGGAACTAGTAGCTAAAAGACTCAGTGATGTGAAATCCTTTCCAAGTCTGATCATGTTAAAAAAAAAAAAAGGTCACCTCTAAGAGGAGGGGTGGAACAGGGCAGGGTGAGGAGGTAGGCTGACTTCTGCAGTCTCATATGGACAGCCTTTGGAAAAACTTATTTCCAAACCTGGAAAAACCCAGAATCTAGTTCACACGTGACCTCCTTTAAAAAGTAGTAGGGGTTTAAGTTCTACCAAGCAACAGGCAAATGGAGAATATTTGGCAAAAGATATGGCAAATATGAAGAGGGGTGTGGGAAAATGGAAGTAAACTAATGTTAGTCTTTTCTGTAACTGTGGTATTTCTTTAATAAGAATTAGCTCATAAGCCATTGACAAATAGGCCTATGCCAGTATAACAGTGGAAATATTGTGGGTTCAAGTAGAATTTTCCTCTGTACATTAATGTTTGGGAGCCGTTGCAGCAGCAGTTTGGTACCCTTCTGCTGGATCAAATGCCCTAAGGAAGGAAAGGGTGTCACAAGGAGGGACTTGTCAAAGGAGTATCCCAAGAACTGACAGCTAAGGAAAATTCAGCCTTTCTTAACGGTATGTTCTCTCATACTGTTCTTAAATGTTTTGGTCCTACGACCCCCTTAATACTCTTGAAAATTGTCTTTGTGGGTCTACCCACTGACATTTATTGATATTACATCAGGTTTTAAAACAAAAATATTGAAATACAGTAATATAGTTGCCTTTCCATTAGCCTTCAGAGCAGTGATGAAATCACTCCTAGTTGTAGCCTCAGAAAACTCCACTGTGAATGACAGCAGAAAAGGCCAATAAAATTTCTGTATTATAATGAAAACAATTTTAACCTTGCCAATTCCTGGAACAAACTTTGAGAACCACTGCTCCAAAAAAATCACAGCTTAGAAATAGGGCCTTTATTTTCTGGAAGGATTTAGACAGGCGCCCTAGGGAACCTAGACCAGGACCTGTGCTGCTATAGTAAACTAGACAATGACCTGCAGAATTTATAGGGGGTGTCCTGGGATGCTGTGCTATTTCCAAAAAGGAACAGAATATATCAAGTAACTAAACACGAATTGCTGAGAAGGATACACTTACTTCTTCGGGTATACACTTAAGCTTCGGGTAGCTTCTGAAAAGATACTGGAACATTGATAGCCTCACAAGCTAAAGACTCACTTGAAGAGGACAGCCAACAAAATAGGAATGAATCTCTCTGATGAAGGGGCTAGATAAAATCAGGAAACATTTAGCAAGTAATCTAAATCCAGTAAACAATATGCTTGTTGTAGTGTAAACTAAGACAAAAATATAAAGAAATCTTATAAAAGTTTTAAATTTATAGAAAAATGCCAAGGAAGAATTTAGTATGCCTTTTAGAGGAGAACGTCCATAGTGGCTCAGCAGTAAAGAATCTGCCTGCAATGCAAGAGACACAGGAGATGTGGGTGCAGTGTAAAAGACACAGGAGATGTGGTTTCAATGCCTGGGTTGGGAAAATCCCCTGGAGAAGGAAATGGCAACCCACTCCAGTTTTCTTGCCTGGGGAATCCCATGGACAGAGGAGCCTGATGGGCTCCGGTTCCTGGGGTGACAGAGAAAGATATGACTAAGCACAAGCTACTTTTAGAGGAGATAAGATATCTCTTAATGAAGGAAAACTACTTAAAGAGAAAGTTAAGTGTATTCTGTCATGTGACAGGAAGAATAAATTGAAATGAGCAAAACAGAAAAAACTGAAAGTATATCAGAGGTCTCCAAAAGAGAGGAAAGGATCTCTTGATCATAAAAGTGACGATGCTAAAGTTTTGAGTAATTGTTTTGCACAGATCAATCATGTGCAGATCAGTTCTGAAACTGAAGCCAAATAAGAAAATAAATTGTATTTTCTGAATTAAATAATGGAGGGGCAGAGGATCACCAAGATAAGAAAGTGGAAGAAAAAATATATATTATTAATTATCTATTGTGACATAATAAATAACTCTAAAAGTTAGTAGCTTAAAGCAGCAGTGATTTATTACTATTTTTAAATGATACTCTGGATGGGTTGACAGTTTATCTGCTGGTTTTACCTGAGTTCACTGGTACAGAAACATTCAGCTGAAAGATGGTTGAACTGAAAGATGGTTGGACTGGAAGATCAAGGTAGCTTCATTCACATGTCTGACATCTGGTGGTGTCCATTGGGAGCTTAGTTTCTTTCCCATGTGACCATTATTCTCTAGAAGGTTAGACTGGCTTTCCTTTTTTGATGGCCTCAGGGTAGCATCACAATAAGGTGAAAGCAGAAGCTGCAATGTCTCTTAAGGTCTGGTTTTGGAAGTCACAGGACATCATTTTTGCCACATTCTGCAGATTAAATCAAGTTACAATAACAGTCCAGATGCAAAGAGTGGGGAAATCGATAACCTCTTGATGGAAGCATAGATGCATCGGAGAAATCTGTGGTCATAATTTACAACTTATCATAACAAAGAATGAATATGACAAAGACCCAAGTCTTTTTTTTTTTTTTTTTTGAGAGTTGAAGCAATTTCTTTAATTTTATTGGAATCCAGGACACAACGAGAAAAACACCCCAAACTACATGGAGACAGAAGACTTCTCCCCAGCTCCCCTAGATCTAGAGTGGGGACAACATGGGAGAGACCTTGAGCCTCAGTCCAGCCCTGCAGGCTCCAGGCCTGGGGGAGCAGAGAGTAATGGCGAGGCAGGGCCCAGCCTCCACGTCAGAACTGCTGAGGGGAGGCTTCCTGGAAAGACTTGTCCATCTCTCTCACACTCCTGCGCAGGGCAGGGAGCCCACAGCAGTCAGAGGTCGGGCCATGGACACATTCCTGATTGAGGAGCAGCTGGAGTGGAGGCAAGAGACACAATTATCTGGGCGGAATCAGTTGCAGAGGGTAGGAGGTGGGGCCTGGGAGGGCCCCATGGGCCAAACCCTAAGGTCACCAGAGAGGGCCCAAAGAGGGGCTAGTGAGTGAGGTCCTGAGTGAGTGGGTCAGCGGCTGGGCCCCTTTCTCCTGCTGCCTACAGCCCCTCCAATACTGCTGTCGCAGGGAGGGCCCCACCTCCAGGGAAATGGGATAAGAAAGCAGCCTACCCCCTGCGGCAGACAGGCAGGGGGCTGAAGCCAGGAAGGAGGGCCTGGCCAGGCTTTGACCTGTCTGCCCCAGAGGCCTGTGGGAAGAGGATGGGTCCAGAAGGGTGAGAAAGGGGCTCGACTGGCTCAGATCCAAGATGGTGCCATGCATGCTGAGTCCCCTGTTAACAGGGGGACTGTGCTGGGGGACAGCAACTCTGGTTAGACAGGAGGCAGCAGCTTCTCGAGAAACTCCTTCACGGCTGCCATCTCCTGAGGACAGGAGCTGTGCATGACACCTGGGTACATCTTGAACTGGACCCTGGCAGGTGTGACAACGGACCAGAGCTGCTCAGCTGTCAGGGCCCCAAACCGTTCAGGAACCATGGGGTCCAGCTCCCCATGGCACTGAAGGATGGTCAGGTCCTTGGCACTGCCATTGGCTGCCTGGGGGAAGGCCTGATGCAGAGGTAGCCAACAGCTCAATGCCACAGTGCTAGCCAGAGGGTGGGGGCAGCTGAGGGCTGTGTAGAGGGACATAGCTCCACCCTGTGAAAAGCCTCCCAGGACGATCTGGTTGGCAGGGGTCCCATTCTTCATCTCATGCTCAATCAAGGCCTTGATGTTCTCTGCTGCTTTCTTGATGCCAGCCTCATCCTCTGGCGTGTCTGGATTCAGCCCCATCAGGTCAAACCAGGAGTGCATGGGGACAGATGTACTTGATGTGAGGGAGCCGGATGGTGGAGAGGGCATCAGCCCAGCTCTGCCCTGTGTCTCCAGGTCCATGTAAACAAATAACTGCAGCTGTTTCCTGCTCAGCTCCAGACACAGTGGCAGCGTTGGTGAGCAGGGGCACAGACATGGTGTTAACACACATATACTGCAGGGCTCCACGGCTGGGGCCTCCACTCCTTGGGGGTTTCAAGACCTCTAGGGAGATTTTCCTGTTTCTCCAGCACAGACACATGCTCTTCCCTCCTCGACTGACCCTGCCGGGACCCAAGGTATTTAAACGTTAGTTTAAGGAGAGAAACCATTTACGACTTAATCTGATTTATGAGACATCAGTTATGCATGATTGGAAGAGCACTTAAGGGAGGTGGAACAGGATACCTGATCATTGTAGACTGTGCAAAGTCCCTAGAAAATATAAAACTTCAAGCCAAAAACTGAACTTATTGATCAGACAGAATTTCTTGCTGGAAATATTTGAGCATAAAAGAAAGATAAGGAGCAGTCAGGTTCAGAGGAACAGAAATATTAAAATTTAATATTTTAAATTCAGTGAATTTGATAAAATAGAGGGAAACTATAGAATATGAAAATACCTTATAAGGCAGAATTTTGTTCTGCAGAAAAAAGCCTATGACAACTGGATCTTTGTGATACTGACAGCTCTATTGCTGGAGAGATGAAGCAAACCACCTTTCTGAGAGAGAACTTATTAGAGGAATGAGTTTTTAAAAGATTGGTAATGCTAGTAGAAGTGATAGAATTCCAGCTGAGGTATTTAAAATCCTAAAGGATGATGCTGTTAAAGTGCTGCATTCAATACGTGCAGATTTAGAAAACTCATCAGTGATCACAGGACTGGAAAAGTCAGTTTTCATTCCAATTACAAAGAAGAGCAATGCCAGAGAATGTTCAAACTGCTGTACAGTTGCGCTCATATCACAGCCTCACTAGGTTATGCTCAAAATCCTTTAAGCTCAGCTTCAGCAGTATGTGAACTGAGAACTTCCAGATGCACCAGCTGAATTTAGAAAAGGCAGAGGAACTGGAGATTTTATCAGTTTGCTAATATGCATTTCTCCAGAAAAACATCTATTTCTGCTTCATTGACTGTGTGAAAGCCTTTGACTGTGTGGTTCACAGCAAACTGTGGAAAATTCTTACAGAGATGGGAGTACTAGACTACCTTACTTGTCTCCTGAGAAACCTGTATGTAGGTCAAGAAGCAACAATTAGAACCAGAGGTGGAACAACTGACTGATTGCAAATTGGGAAAGGAGTATGACAAGGCTGTATATTGTCACCCTACTTATGTAATATCTATGCAGAGTTCATCATATGAAATGCCAGATCACAAGCTGGAATCAAGATTGCCAGGAAAAATATCAACAACCTCAGATATGCAGACAATACTGCTCTAATGGCAGAAAGTGAAGAGGAACTAAAGAACCTCTTTATAAGGGTGAAAGAGGAGAGTGAAAAAGCTGGCTTGAAACTCAGCATTCAAAAAGCTAAGATCATGGCATCCAGTCCCATCACTTCATGGCAAATAGAAGGGGAAAAAGTGGAAGCAGTGACAGATTTTATTTTCTTGGGCTCCAGAATCACTGTGGACAGTGATTGCAGCCATGAAACTAAAAGAAGCTTGCTCCTGAAGAAAAGTTAAAACAAACCTAGACAACATATTGAAAAGCAGACATCACTTTGTCAACGAAGGTCCATATAGTCAAAGCTATGGTTTTTCCAGTAGTCATGTACAGATGTGAGAGTTGGAGCATAAAGAAGGCTGAGCACTGAAGAATTGATTCTTCTGAATTATGGGGCTGGAGAAGACTTGAGAGTTTCTTAGACTTCAAGGAGATCAAACCAGTCAATCCTAGAGGAAATCAACCCTGAATATTCATTGGAAGAACTGATGCTGAAGCTGAATATCCAACACCTTGGCCACCTGATGCGAAGAGCTGACTCACTGGGAAAGACCCTGGTGCTGGGAAAGATGGAAGGCAAAAGGAGAAAGGGGCTTGAGGTTGAGATGGTTAGATAGCATCACCAACTCAATCGACATGAGTTTGAGCAAGCTCTGGGAGATAGTGGAGGACAGAGAAGCCTGGTGTGCTGCAGCCCACAGAGTGGCAAAGAATTGGACACGACTTAGTGACTGAACAGCAACTAATTTTCAACAATGCTGTGAAAACCAGGGACTGTTAAAGCAACATTTTGTGGTCTCTTCCAAATTAATACACACATCTCATTTCTAAGATGCAGAGTCCTTTAATTTCTATTGTAGTCAGAGACTATAAAAGTAGCAGTAGAATATCTGATGTCTCTCTCAATGAAAGGATCTTTTAAGTTTATGCCTGAGGGTGGAGGAATGCAGTACTCCTTAGTGATTCAGGATATCCTGTGAAATTACAAGTACTTTATGATCATTATGGAAGAGGTGTACTTAGACTGGGACCCTAGTATGGTGCTAGTTAATATCCCCTAAATTCCTCCCCTTTTACCACAGCGGATGTCTTTGTTGACTCTGGTACAAATCTCAACCCTTTTCAGGTTCACCCATCACAAGTGCACTACTAGCAGAACTTCTGTCTTCTCCTGGTCAGTTTTTGACCACATTTTCCCACCACAGGGACTTCATGGGCCTAAAACTTTTCTTCTACCTTTTATTTCTGGCTCCACCTGAGGTCTAGAAGCATCTTACCTGGCCTCTACCTGAAATATATAGCTTGTTCTATGGTTATTAAACCTATAAATCCTGACCTTTACCTTTTATCTTTAGTAATATGATTTTGATAATTACAAATAATGCTTCTCTTAACATATATTTTGATCTATGTATACATGCAGACTTAGGGGAGGAGGAATTGCTGGGTCACAGGGTAAGCATATGTTCAACTTTAGCAGGCAATGCCAGTTTTCCACAGTGGGAGTGAGCACTTGAAAAATATATAAACAAAAGTCTTTCAGTTAAAATTAACTTGCTGAAGATCCCCAAGCATTTTTTTTTTTTCGTAGAAACTTATGATGAGTCATAGATCAAATATGTACATGTATTTTTAAAAAAGCATTATTTGTTTCTGCTTTTGTTAGGGACAATTTCTCCACCAAATAGAACATTTTGTTTGTATAATTCATACCAGAGTGCCATTTCCTAGGATATTTCAATAAAGCTTGAATGAGTGAATTAATAGTTCTTCTCCATAGATTGATTTAATAAATCAGATGCACTCCAATACACTAGAAATTATATGGTATTTAATGGCTAGATATAAGATAGACTTATTACTCCACATAATTTTTTCTGGGGTTTACAATGTAAAACAATACACCTTCTTCCATTAAACCTCTGGCTTATACACTAAAGCAGTGGATTGACATGCACATGGTATTGTCATATGCTGTCAGAAATGGACCTGCTGCTTTCCTTATTAACCAGAAGTGATGTCAACAAACTTAGGAGAAAAAATATTTTAAAATCACCCCTCTTTATATTAAAAAAAAATTAAAAGCACATACCTTGTTTTAGTGTGCTTTGTAGATAATGCAGTTTTTACAAATTGAAGGTTTGTGGAAACTGCACTGAACAAGTCTATGGGTACCATTTTTCCAATAAAATTTGCTCCCTTTGTGTCTCTGTGTTGCATGTTGGTAATTCTCACAATATTTTTAATTTTTTAATTTTTGTATTTGTTATGATGATCTGTGATCAGTGATCTTTGATGTTACTGCTATAATTGTTTTGGGGCACCACAAACCACATCCCCATATAGGATGGCAAACAGTTGATAAATGTGTGTGTTCTGACTACTTCACTGTCCTCTCTTCTCTCTCTCCTTGGGCCTCCCTACTTCCTGAGACAAAACACTGTTCAAATTAGACCAATTAATAACCCTACAATGGCCTCAAAATATTCAAGTGAAAGAAAGAACTGTGTGTCTCTTTAAATAAAAAATTAGAAATGACTAAGCTCAATGAGGAAGGCATGTCAAAAGCCAAGGTAGGCCAAAAGGTGGGACTCTCAAGCAAAGCAGTTAGCCAAGTTGTGAATGCGAAGAAGTTCTTGAAGGAAATTAAAAGTGCTATGCTAGTGAATACATACATGATAAAGTGAAGCAGCCTTTTTGCTGATATGGAGAAAGTTTGAGTGGTCTGGAAGGAAGATCAAACCAGCCACAATATTCCCTTAAACCAGAGCCTAATCCAGAGCAAGGCCCCAACTCTCTTCAATTCCATGAAAGCTGAGGTGAGAAAGTTACAGTAGAAAAATTTGAAGCTAGCAGGGGTTGATTCATGAGGTTTAAGGAAAGAAGTCATCTCATAAAAGTACAAAGTGAAGCAGTAAATGCTGATGTAGAAGCTGTAGCAAGTTACCCAGATCTAGCTCAGATGAAGGTGTACTCTAAACAACACATTTTCAAGGTAGATGAAACAGCCTTACAATGGAAAATGCCATCTAGACTTATATAGCTAATGAGCAGAAGTCAATGGCTGGCTTCAAAGCTTTAAAGGAGAGAATGACTCCTTAGTAGGAGCTAATGTGGCTGGTAACTTGAGGTTAAAGCCAATGCTCATTTATCATGTAGAAAATCCTAGGGCCCTTAAGAATTATGCAAATTCTACTCTGCCTGTGCTCTATAAATGGAAAAAGAAAGCCTGGTTGGCAGCCCATCTGTTTATAAGATGATTGACTAAATGTTTTAAGCCCACTGTGGAGACCTACTGCTCAGAAAACAGATTACTTTCAAAATATTGTTGCTCATGGACAATGTACCTGAGCACCCAAGAGCTCTGATCCAGGTGTACAACAATATTAGTGTTGTTTTCATGCCTGCTGACATGACATGTGTCCTACAGGACAGATGAAGGAGTCCCATGGATGAAGGAGTCATTTTGACTTTTAAGTCTTATTATTTAAGAAATACATTTCATAAGCTATTGTGGTAATAGTTTTCCTATGATGGATCTGGACA